AAATAAATTATAATAAAAAAATTAAATAAATTATATAAAAAATCAAGAACTTTTAAATAGTTAATTTGATATTAATATCTATGTATTTATAAAAAAAAATGATGTCTTCAAATTTATTTTTCTAAAAGTAAAAACATTATATTTCTCAAAACTACATAGACTGTATTATATCAACAAAGACAAAAAAAATAAAACGAAACGTCAAAATGAATATGTATCTCGTAGCATTATGCGAGTACCTTCTAGTATATATATATTATGGAAGTAAACTTATTTTTATTGAGAAACCATTGAGAGTATGCCAAGTGTTTATATTTATCATGAATAACTGAATATGGGCGTGATTTTAACAACATTAATTATGAAAACATATATTTATGATGGATACCCCGTCTATATTTATCATGAATATGAACACTGATGTGTTTTTATTGGTTCTCTTATTCCCAGTGAAAATGAGGTTTCACAACACAAACACACACACATATTTGGGATTATGTGATACCAACTTGTTTTTGTGAATATATTTAATTATTATCTTTAATAAAAATTATATTATTAAACCAAAAATAAATTACGTCGTTATTAGATCTAAATTAAATTATAATAAAAAATTGAATTAAATAAATTACACCCAAAAAACGAGAACTATTGAATAATTAATTTAATACTAATATCGATTTTATTTTTTTTAAATTTTATATGGTATATTCAAATTTATATTTTATTTAAAAATAAAAACATTATCGCATTCTCAAAACCACTTAAAATTATATTATATCGATAGAAACAAATAATTAAAACTAAACATTAAAATAAAGATTTATCTCGTTGCATTATGTGATTACCTTTCTTATACTCAAGAAAATGAATTTGTTATAATATAATAATGTTAAAAAGCATACCCTTAAGAATGAAGAAACATACATAAGAAATGCAATATTAGATGATGGATGGAAAGTCTCGCCCATCATGCGTTTAAGTATTTTCTGTATAAAGTCCTACCTTTTTAAATTCACCTAATAAAATAATTTAACTATTTTATTTATCAGAAGGGTATTCGTACAATGCAACAAGATATATTTGAATTTTATTGTTTTTTTTTGTCTATTGATATAATACAGTTTTATATGGTTTTGAAAAAGTAATAATGTTTTTATTTTTGAATAAAATATAAATTTGGAAAAAAAAATATCGATAAATTAACTATTTAAAAATTTAGTTTTTTATATAATTTCCTTAATTCAATTTTTTTATAATCTAATTTATATTTAATAACGAATAATGTATTTTTTTATAAAAATAATAATCAAGTATTCTACTAGTTTAATTAACAATATAATTTTTATAAAGATGATAACTAGGTATTATATTATAAGTCAACGATTATCCTAATTATATTTTAAATCTTTTAGATTTAAAATGTGATATTTATCCTGTATATGATTATGCTTATTTGCAGTTAGTTACACGAATTCAAAAATCGAGGTTTAATAAGTTGTAACACAATTTACTTCTAATTTTGAATTTTAAGTAATATATATCAAACAAACAGTAATTTATACATAAAAATGATTTTTAAGAATTTTTGTTAAATACTTTATAATATAGTATAGATGGTTCAAGTAAATAAACATATCAAATTCAACTACTTTTTTTATATTTGTTCCATAAACATATGCAAATTATAGATACTTTTATTTTCGATATTATATTTAATTTAAAAAATTATATTGGGATATGCTCAGAAATAAAAATTATTTTTATAAAATATTATATTATTAAATTAAAAATAAATTACAATAAAAAAATAAATTAAAGAAATTATATAAAAAATGATAATTTTTAAATAATCAATTTGATATTAACATTAATATTTTTTTTCAAATTTATATTTTGTTTAAAAATAAAATTGTGTTATAATATCAACAAAGAAAAAGACTAATATAGAACATTAAAATCAAGATATATCTCGATGAATTACGCGAATATCCTTCTAGTATATATATATATATATATATATATATATATATATATTTTTTTTTTTTCTTTTCAGAAGCGAAGAGGACAAATAATTCAAGAAAATAACCAAGAAACACAACACGAGATCTTGATATCAAAATCCAAAAGGTGGGATTTTGTTAAAAGGGAAAAAAGACTTCTCCTCGACCTTCCCCCCAAGTCTTCAACTCTCTCCCTCTCTCTCTCCTTCTTCTTCACAACTAAACACCATACAGATACAGTTACAGAGAGAGAAGAGAACCACAGAGGAGAAGATACATATATACATATATATATATATAAACACGTAAATGTATGTACAAAGTTTGATTCTTCTTTTGATGGATCTACAGATCTGAACCCACGTAGGTTTTTCCTATCGGATCTCAATTTGTAATTCAGTAGCTGAACCTCAGAAAAAGAACCCAACTTTCAACTGTGAGTCGTCTTTCTTCCCTCTCTGGTTTAATCAAATCTATTTTGATAAACTAATGCTTCTTCTCATACCATTTCTTTTCAAAATTTCCTTAATGGGGTTTTCACCGAAATTCAAGATTCTTACTTACCATTCTTCGCTTTGACCAATTAATTGTCTCCTTCTGAATGTTGACTAAGAATCTTGATTTGACCTAATCGGTTGTCTTGTTCTTCAAATCTGCAGAAACCCCTTTTTGTTCTCATTGGACCTTTTAGATTTCTGGGTCTTTTTCATTTTATTTTCATCGTATTTTGTTAGTTTCACGATTCGTTTGCCCATTTAGTTGTTAATTCTTGATGTTATTCATGGAAAATGAACAGTGATAAGAAGATATCTGGTTGAAAAGATTTAGGGTTTTCTTCACATCCGGTTTTGGATGTTTGAGAAATCGGTGGTAAGGTTGTGGTGAGATGAGGGATGTTATCAAAGTTGATAAACATTCTAAAGGCCTGCTGGCGACCATCTTCGGACCGTTATTATGACGGTGGTTCAGATGCTGTTGGCCGGCAGGATGGTCTTCTTTGGTATAACGACATCGGAAAACACTTAAATGGCGATTACTCCATGGCTGTGGTTCAAGCCAATATGTTGCTCGAAGATCAAAGCCAGATTGAGTCTGGTTCATTGAGCTTTCTTGATTCTGGTCCATATGGGACCTTCATCGGAGTTTATGATGGTCATGGCGGACCTGAAACTTCCCGATATGTCAACGATCATCTTTTTCAGAACCTCAAAAGTGAGTGATCACTGATCAATCCACTCCAATTTTGGTTGATTATTCTCTAGATTTTGGTCTAAATTTGATAAATTTACAATGGGGCTTTTGTAGGATTCACTTCAGAGCAGAATTCGATGTCTGTCGATGTGATTCGAAAAGCTTTTCAGGCGACTGAAGAAGGGTTTTTATCGGTTGTTGCTAAACAATGGACGGTGAAACCGCAGCTAGCTGCTGTTGGATCGTGTTGTTTGGCCGGCGTTATTTGTAACGGAACCCTTTTCATTGCTAATGCTGGCGATTCGCGTGCTGTTTTGGGAAGAACGGTGAAGGCAACTGGGGAGGTTATTGGTATCCAACTTTCTATGGAACATAATGCGAGCATAGAGTCTGTTAGGCAGGAACTTCATAATTTGCATCCTGATGATCCACAGATTGTGGTATTAAAGCATAACGTGTGGCGTGTTAAAGGGATCATACAGGTATGATTCACATGTGAATTTTGTATTTCCGTTCTTGAAATGTTTTTAGATTGTATGTGAATTGGATCTAAGTTGGTTGCAGTTATCAGTGGACAATGGGTATTATAGTATAAGATGCTTTCTTTATTGTGATGATTTGGTGGCGGCGGCGGTGACTGTAGTGAGGGTGGTAGCCATTGCTTCACGAAGACAATGGCAACTACAACAAAATCAAATATGTCGAGATGTTGTAGTAGACTGTTTTATAGGACTTAAGTTTTATGTAAAAGTGTCACAATAGGATGTATTTGGGGATCCTAACAAGTTTTTTGGACATTTTCGAAACAAAGGGGTTGTTTGGTTGGTTTTCCATTTAAGTCTTGTATGGATAAAGCTGTCTGTGTGAGTTAATTTGTCTATGTAGATTGGAAAGGTTTTTGTTTTGGAGGGCTTTTTCATATGTGAAAGGGACATGTTTTTTTTTATTGGGAATGGTAGGTTTCGGAAAAATTTGGCTGTCTGCATAAAGCTTCCCCCTGAATAAGCCAATTTCTATATCATTAAGCCACTACCAAGCTGAATGAATAAGCTGTGTGTCCCATTAAGCTGGTTAAGCTCCTAACAAACAGACCCAAAGCATCTTATTATTCTAATTGATGACAAAAATGTTTTGTTTATTCTAATTGTCTCATTGTTTGGATTTTTTGTTGCAGATATCGAGATCTATAGGTGATGTGTACCTCAAAAAGGCGGAATTCAACAGGGAGCCGTTGTATGCTAAGTTTCGTCTTCGTGACCCGATGCGAAGGCCAATACTTAGCGCTGATCCATCAATATCCGTGCATGAAATCCAACCAAACGATCAATTCCTCATATTTGCATCTGATGGCCTCTGGGAGCATCTTAGTAATCAGGATGCTGTTGATATAGTGCAAAATCACCCACATAACGTAAGTCTCGCCTCATCAAATATTTTATGTTATGCCTAGAGCGTATTTTGCATTCTAGGATTCCAGTGCCTCTACAAAATCTTTCCATCAGAACCCTTCGGTCGGTTCGTTATATTCTTGATCTACAGTATTTTCGCTAGATGGGTATTCGGAATTTTAACCAATGTACCGGATTCCATCAGAACTCTGCAGCTAAGCATGCTTGGGCACGAGTAATACTAGAATAGATGACCACCTGAGAACTCCTCATGTTCTTAAACCCAAATCGCTACCTATGTGCTGGATTTATCGGACATCTGGATCCGATTGGTTTTGTTAGGTATTTGGAATTTTGTTATCCAAATTATAATTGAAACGTAATTGTTTTGAGCACAAGTCTTAGTAGGATCGCATCCATACCGGAGTAAGGTCAGGTTCAGTGGAAAACTGAAAAATTTGAAAAACCAAGGAACATCCTAATAATCATTCATCTATACGGTATGCACATGTGCATACACATGCATAGAAACCAGGAAACATCTTCAATTACTTATATGCATATGTGCATTCTGTACATATTAATGGTTATTGGGGTGTTCCTCATTTTTTCATTTTTTTGGGTTTTCCATTGAACCTCACTCCATCTACTTCAAGGTTACAAATATCAGATTTTCGTTCATACAGCATCCTCCATACAGTGGACTAGTAATCGACTTCACGAACCATCATAGTCGGCTTTCTGCTGAGAACAACCATCGTTTTTGTGAGAAAGCAAAAAGAACTCTACACTTTAAGGGCATGTTTGACAACTACAAGCTCGCTTATTTTTTGAGTTTATTGAGAAATCCTTGTTTGGTTTGCCATACAATAGTTTCTCGATAAGCTTGAGGGAATTTTTTCCAATTATGCCCCTTACATTTTTCAGATTAATTTTTTTAACATGCCATTTTATGTCATTTTACATTGTCATCTAGCTTATCAATTAGTTTTACCAATCATGACTAGCTTATTAGCAAATAATGAACTTTTTTTCAGTTAACAACTAGTGTATCAGCCAACAACTAGCTTATCTGTTAGTTTGCCAACTTCTCAGCTAGTTTTTGCATTTCTGTTTCTATAATTCATTCGTGGTTTGTAAATTATAGCGTTATTTTACATAAACCTCTGTACTTCAAATGGGTGTTTGTTCTTTTTTGTTTGGTTATCAACAACAAAGACAATATACCAAATTACCCTTGGAATTTTGAGATGGTTATTCGATATAGCTAAAGACAGTTTAAGCATCACCGCCGTTTGTAGACCAAGGAGTTCGATGTTAATATGAATACTGGCGGATTCGTGGTGATGGAGCGAGTTAACGAACATTTTTATGGTTTCTACGATGCAGGGAAGTGCTAGAAGACTGGTGAAAACGGCCTTACAAGAGGCGGCAAAGAAGAGAGAGATGAGGTACACGGATTTGAAGAAAATCGATAGGGGCGTAAGACGTCATTTCCATGATGACATTACAGTCGTAGTTGTGTTTCTAGACTCGAATCTAGTAAGTAAAGTGAGCTCATGGAAAGGCCCTACTCTATCTGTCAAAGGTGGTGGCATCAACATCTCAAGAAAAACTCCGGCGACACCACCGCCACCATCAACTGCCACAGATCATGGCGGCACTTAGGGTTACCGTTCTTGAATCCATGGAAGGTTAAAAAGGTAATTTCCCATCTCTAATTTTAATTCCATGATGTATAATTTAGCTAGCATTTTAGCTTTTAAAAAAATGGGTTATTTTGTTCCTGGGACATGAAGAAATGACAAGAAAATTGAGGAAAAAAAGGAAATAGAGGGAGAGAGCTCAAAATGTGGCCCTGGAGATTTTTGAAGGAACCCTTTGAAGCTTGTGTTGTGTAAATCTTGTATTCTTCTTAGAAATTCGATTTTTTTTACGATATACGTTTTCGTAGCTGTTTCCGATTTTTATATATTTTGTTCTTTGGTTTTGTGGGTCCAACGATCTTGTTATGTTGTTGTATAAAAGGAAAACGACCCACGATCATATCTTTGTTTCTTATATCCCATGGCTGGTTAGGGCTGTCGCAAGAGTCCTCGGTTTGGTTACTAAAAGTGCGATCAGTTGCCACCAATTATGATTTTTTAAAGCTGAACAGGTTATCAGGGCCTGGTCGACATTCTTTTGTGTTATCGAATGGTTATACGACCATTTTTTGATCTGAGTATGAATTTAAACACTCGTAGTTTAAAGTCAGGCAATCGTTCGTGTTACTGAAGCCTGAACAATCTCAGTACACATGGGATTTTGCATATCGAGGTCGGAATGGGATCATGTATTTTCATGTATCATTGTAGTGCGTGGTTTGTCTTGGTTTTGGATTTTGAGGGGTATGCCAAAGGCACGGTTGGTGACTAGAGCGAACTCGTGCATCGGAAAGTGCGGCTGAATCACCTTCTTTTCAGGGAGATAATGCTTTGTTGGCTATTTTGGTTGGAGTTCCTATCGGGACTCACTTGCTCTTGATGTTTCAACACAAGTATTTTTTAAGTCGGGATACATTTTTGTATTGGAAACAAATTTGGTGGCCAAAGTCAAATAAAAGAAAGTTATACACCAACCTTGACCTGATCGCACGACACGACAATAAATTCAAAATAGGCCACACCAGTTGTAAAGAATTGCCAAATAAGCCATCCAACTTTTACTATATCATAAAAATGCCCCCGAGTTTTCACAAAATCTACAAAAAGCCCAACGATTTGCTTAAATAAAAACTGTAACCGAGTTTTGTGGTAGTCTTATTGTTACAATACTATCCATAGCAGCCTAATAAACACAAAGTCCAATACTACCTTCACGTTGTCCGGACTCCGTATTGCTTTATTTCGATGGCATCAGGTTTCATTTGAGGTTTATGATTGTCTAGTTTTGATTTGTTTTTACCCAAAACATGAAGATATCTGGTATCCAACTCAGTATTATTTGCTGAAGCATTTAACATGATACCACATCACTCATCACATTAGCAACATTACCTGGTTACCCGAGTACAATAATGTTTAAAACTTTATATCTTCGGTATCAAAGTAAAAGTTTTAAACATACGTTATCTAAAATAAGAATTAAATTAAAATTATTTTATTTTTTCATGCAATTTAATTTTTTAAAAGGTATTTAGATATAACACCTTAAATGAGATTTCGGTAGAAGTGGATGAACTTCCCTTTAATGAAAATTGCTACCAACTCTTTCAATTAATGCAATCTTTGGTTACCAAAAGCTATTCCAATTATTGAAATAGCTATAAAATCCAATGTTATTGGTTGTATTTTACGCAGTAAAAGTCGTTTAGAGTCAGTTTTGTTGGCTACGAAGAAAACCTGTAAAAAACAAACCATTTTCAGATGGAATCGAGCCCCAGAGTGCAACAAGAACAACACTCACCAAAGGGTCATTGGTCCAACTTGGGTACCAAAGGGTCATTGTTGCATATACTTAAAAAGAACCAACTACGGAAAAAGAGACGAAAAAGGTCATCGTAAAGCAATAAGTTACGAAAATTAATACCGATGTGAAGAAAACGGAAGATTTCAAAGTTCTCAAGCGGAAAAGAACTCCAAATGTAGAATATGTCAACTTTTTATAACTAACCATCGATTCTCAACTGTATCATGATACACATGTATAACCTAACTACATATATTAATCATAATCGTGTACAAAACATCATTATATATCTTACGGTTTATACAGATGAAAACCGAAACATCTTCTATGTGTCAGAATACGGTAAATGTCGCGTTTCAGAATTTACAGAGAATCGAAGAATATTTTCAGAGATCGCGCCTGCACAAGGGACAAGATCCGTGTCTTACCAGCCATTTATCGATACACGGTAGATGAAACATATGATGACACTGTGGCAAACTTCTCACGGTTTCTCCGAGTTGAAAATCCTGAAGAAATATCAAATACGGTAAGTTTTATGAATGAAACAAGAACCGAATGACGATCCAAATTTGGTCTTCAAGACTTCAACATCGTTTTAAAATTCTCGAGCCTAGTGTTTCGTAAACGTCATATTTAGCATTAATACACACAATTGCAGGAAACCGAAGTCAAACCTCCATCCATCAAAAACGAGAAACAAAGAGTGATAAAAAATGAAGACGCCCATTTCGTGAAACCACAAAATAGCACTAAAACTTCACAGCAAAACATTATGAAAGTACGAAAAACACAAACTTCACAGCACACACATCGGGAAGGTTTAGTGTTATTTATGTGGTGTCATGGATCTCACGAAAACAGTCTGGTCTCACATGATCTATTGATCCCAAGTTTATTAAACTAGTCATGCTTGGTAAAAACTAGCTAATTAACCAGATGAAAATGTAAAATGACTTAAAAGGACATGTTAATAAATTAAATCGAAAAATATAACAGGTATAATTGGGAAGAAAATAGAAAATAGTTTCTGAAGCTTGTTGAAACGCTACTTGATGTAAAATGACTTAAAATAACATGTTAAAAGATTAACTGAAAACTATCAGAGGCATAACCGGAAAGAAGTAGAAAAAACTCCCGAAACTTATTGAAACCCTATTTGAAGTAGGACTTAAGCATTTTATGGTTGTCAAACATGTCCAAAATGTAGAACAAGAAACAACGGAAATTGGTATAGACGAATGGGACGTTAAGCATTCGTTCAATGCACATACGTTTTGACACTTAACGTTAGCTACTGATAGATCAAGAAATCTTGTTTTCAATCAATTCTAAGAAACAACATACAATTCTACGAAGAAATCGTATTACCTGAAGGCATACAGAGCATGAGACTCTCTCCCCCGAATCGTCCACATTGTTGTCACTCGTAACGGTGATTTTGGGTATCTTTTCAACCGAATATTCAGGCAAGCCTTTAGAACCACCAATGTCAAATATGTTGCTAACCACATCAAAGCTCGTTTCAACCGCTATCATCTAAATTAAACGCCAAACGATCAACAAATAAGAAAAAGACTTTCCAATTACGTTTTCGAAACGAAAAGACGAAATGGGAATCAATCGAATTTGCAAACTTTACCTGGCTCTGTACGGCACTCAACATAGCTGGACCAATACGCTCACGAACTAGTCTTCCGCTTAACAAGCTTACAATGACATCAACCTGTCGTAAATTTGACATCAGCGATTGGTTTATCATAATTTTTTGTTCTGTCATGTCCCGTACTATTTCACATACCAAACTCCATTCGCTTTAAGATCAGAGACATCAGTCTTTCTACTGTATTGATAGGTCTCCCAACAATTGGGATTTGTATGTTTGTGCCAGAATCATGGTACGATGGCATCGATATCGAAATCCTTACGAACCCATCTGTTCTATTCCTGATTCGGTATCTTTTTTTCGTAAATGGTGGATTGGATTGTACTAAAAAGAACCAATTTGTTAAGCATCACTTTCACTTATATTTGATCTCTTAGGGGCCGTTTACCAAACGTTTACCCGGGTATAAGCACTTACCAAGTCACATTAGCTTACCAGATGAACATGATAAAGGACGAAGAATGTTACCTAGTAAGAACGAGAGTCTTACCTGGTAAGTGAGAGTGACGACTCTTACCACGGTAAACGCTCATACAAGGCAAATTGTTGTATACGATTACTTTTTGATGGACTAAAATCTTGTCTGGTAAGTAACTGATAGTGTTGAATTTTACCAATAAGCGCTTACCGTGTAAGTGTTTGGTAAACGGCCCTTAATTTCTTCAATTTTTTGAAAGGCTTATGCATCAAAAGCGACCATGAAAACATGAGAAAATAGAATTGCTCACCAAGTACAGAAGACATTCAAATCCAGATTCATCAGATTGCCACAAAAGAAGTGAAGATTCGAAAACCTCAATCGAAAAAACAGCACCAGAAATGGCTCCAATTGCAGCACCTCTAACGAATCCACTTTCAGTTTCTTGGCCGATCAGAGCCCCTGTTAATGCTCCTAATAAAGTTCCCACTGCAAGTTAACAACAGCATCAATGATCAACTTCAATCGAAAGCAAAAAGATGGTGAAAAAAAAGTGATTAATCTACCAATCCTTCATGGGTTTGACTATCATTCATCAGTATTGAGGTTGCAACGATTAAGAACATGATGTTTTCCCCAATTTCTAACCGTAATTTAACAAAATAACGATTATGAACACATCAAATTGGGAACCAGATACGAAAACCTAGAAATCCCTATTCATATAATAGAAAAACCGACATGAAGAAATATATGATCAAAAGTCAATCTCCATAAGAAAACACACCTAATGCGAAGAAGAAGGTGAAAATTGCAGAGAAGACGTTCCCAACAATCGCACAAACTGAAGAACTGAAGGATTCTTTGACTTTCAAAACCAAATTTCCAAATGTAAAAGAAGAAATTTGTGAAGACGAAGGGGAAGAACGAGATGGGTATGGATAAAACTCCATTTTAGGATCAGTTTGTAGGAGGGTTTCTTCAAAAGAAATAACTGGATTGATGTATGATTCAAAGGATGCAGGGAGGGTTTTGATGGGTCACGGGTTTAGAGGGTCACGTTGGGTGTGTTGTATAAAACTACTTGGTCGTTGGAAGAAGAAGGTGAAAGGAAGCAACATCAAACCATCACAACATTTATAGCTATCTCACCCTCTTGTGGATCCAAGACGAGACTTTATTTCTGATTAATATTACACGTATACAAAGATATGGTAATACCGTATTTTTATATTTGAAATTTCACAACAAAATGTTACGAAGATATAAAAAAATCGAAACTTCATAACAAAAATATCATGAAAGTTATTTTTACAGTATTTTACTGTGAAGTTTCAAATATAAAAAAAATATCGTGTATTTTACAAAAATAGTCTGATCTCACGTGATTACAAATTTATAAATATATAAATAGCGGATATGAAATGTTATGATTGAATTAAATAAAGATTATATATATATCTATACTATATTATAAAACATTTGGCTAAAACTCTTAAAAACTCTTAAAACTCTTAAACTCTTAAA